AGAGAAGAAGAAAAAATAGGAGGTATATGAGCTAAGCAAAACACCACTCAGCTGCTCACGAAATGATGTTTTAGTCTTAAGCTTTTTTATTGAATCGTCAATTGCATTCCAGCACTTAACTCCTGAAAACCTAATATTAGACTTCCCAAAATAAGGGCAAGTTTTCCATTAGTGTCCCTTGAAGAGTAATTTTTAAGGCTAGAAGGATTTACAAATTTGGCGTTAACATAACCAGGAGCTAATTTATGTACCGTTTTATAGACCTTTGTAGCTAAATGCATTTGACGCTGAGTCTCAGTTTAGGCCAGTTAAGGGTTTCCAAAATGCTGTCAGCATCAGAATCATAACTCAAGTGTGTAATGACACCAGCAGCACGATTCTGAAGGTTTTGTAGCTTGGAGGCCAAGGACTTGCCACAGTTTCCCCAAACGTAATTACAATAGTCAACATGGGGTCAAATTATAAATAGTTTTTAATGTTTCAAAATTAACAAAATCTCGCATTTCAAAGCCCCAATACTGGAAGCAATTTTTTTTCGAAAGCTCGTTAATTTGTTCCTTCCAGGAAAGGTTTTGATCAATGACCACACCTAAAGCCTTAGCAGTAGGTACCTGTTTGATTGGTGCACCATTGATCACAAGTGCAGGCGAGTTGAAAAGCAAAGCCAACCTTTGCCTAGAGCCTATTAGCATGAATTCATGATATTAAAAATAAATCAGAACATTTGGTCACTGGATAAGTCAAGCAAGAACAAAATTTGTAAACCTTTACTATGTGCACTTTTCTCAAGCAGTCATTATATAATATGTAATCAAATACTTTTTAAACCAATGCACCAGGGTTGTCTATAAGCAATACAGTAATATTGGGGAACGTAAGAATCTTAATTAAAAATGAAAGGTTATGCTATCTGGCCATAATATTCAGCACAATTCCAAAAATCCATCTTTAACGAAGATAAATGATAAACTTTTTAAACTTAGTATAACTTATTTTTGAAAGCAATTTTCTGAGCTTTCAACTCAACTATAGTCGTACAGTCTGAACCAGCTCATGCGTTCCTATCAAGGTTCAATGATTAAGTTTATTATTCGAAGTTTGATTTCCATCCTGATTTGAAGCTTGCATTAATGAAACTAATGTTACAAATTTGAATTCAGGTCTCGGATTAAAAGTTTATTTAGTTCCTCACAGATTCGTGTAAAGCTAAAATTATTTCTACAGTTGTTTACCCTGTGAGCAGAGTCTCCTTTTGACTCCTCTACGGGCGAGAGAAGTAGAGGAGTTAAAAGGAGACTCTGCTCGCAGGGTAACAGTTGTTAAGCAACCATTTTAAAGTTTTTTGTTTGGTGTAATGTTTTGTTCAAAAAATCCTTTCATAAATGAACATTTTGATGTTTTAATGTGACTGGGACACAGGGAGCCCGGCTTTGGAATCTGTACATGAATGAATAAATCAATAAAGTGCTTTGGGTTTCCTGTGTTGAGATTTGAAACAAGACGCCAATGATAAATAAGTCAATAAAGTACTTTGGGTTTCCTGTGTTGAGATTTGGTAACTTGATAGCAGATTAATGTAAGTAACTCGAGAGCAGCTTATAATTCAAATTTAACGTATTAGTGTAACGCACGCCCTAGTAAATGGTAACTAGGGCGTCCGTTACACTGATACGTTACGTTAATCTGCTATCACGTTACCGGTAGTATGATTACCAGAAATTCAACGTATAAGCGTCTTGTTTCAAATCTCAACACAGGAAACCCAAAGCAGTTTATTGATTTATTTATTCATGTACTAATCCCAAAGCCGGGCTCCCTGTGACTGGGATTGAAATTTACAACGTTAGTTTCATTAACGCAGCTTTAAAGTGTCCCTAATGCCTAATCACAGACCTTATGTAAGTTGAAGATATATTCATAAAAATGCGAAAACCCAAAATTTTTTCGAAATTGGATGCATTCCTGATTTTTAAATGAGTGTTGAAAACGCACCTTTTCATATAAGGACCGCGCATAAGGGGGACTGGTGCGATTACGTCATCGGGATGATACGGTCCAAAAGTGAAAGACTTGCGCATTCTTCCAAGTTGGATTCACTCTTACAATATGTAAAAGCTCAATATTTCAGCAATTTTTTCTTTCTTAAAACTTTTAAAAACAGCACTCTTGACCCACAAAAAAATTGGTGTATCACCCCGATGACGTAAGTCTATACAATTTTTCAGGCTCCTCGAACGCGGTACTGAAATTTCGAGAGTGAGTGGACACGAGAATTTTGCCAACTTTTTCGTGGCGTAAAAAATCAGGAATTCGTTTGAAACGAAAAAAAATTTGAAAAACGTGTTTATGACAATGTGAGGACTTGTTCTAAATTGGTCTGTAATCAGGCATTAGGGACACTTTAAAGGAAGATGGAAATCATTCTTCGGATAATAAACTGAATCTTTGAACCTTGATAGGAACGCATGAGCTGGTTTGACTGTAAATTATTATTGTTTTTCTAAATTTTGCTCTCAATTAATAGTATTTTTTTACTACAAGATCAGATCTGAATAGATGATATGTACAGTACCACATTTATATAGCATGATTAATTCTGTAGTTCACCGATTTTATTTCCTTGTAATTCCTAGAATGGCAGAAAGCATGTCTGTGTTTGTCATCCATAAAGGAGAGGAAAAACTTAATATATTCTTTGCCTACAAGTGGAGGAAAAACCTTGGTTTCTGAAATCTTAATGATGAGAGAGCTGTTATTGAATAAGAAAGATGTTATGTTTGTGCTGCCTTTTGTGTCTATCGTTCAGGAAAAAGTAAGTATATATAGTCCTTTGACTTAACGTTGTCGTTTGATGGGCTTCAACCCTACGCGCCTAGACCGAACAGGATTATGGGGATAATTCACAGATACTAGCTGCCGCATACATGTTATGTTTAAAAAAACTAAGTGTCGCGAACATAACATGACGCGAAAATTAAGTGCCTCGCAATATGTCAATAATCAAGAAAGAATACGTTTATTACCAATGAAACGTTTGCAAAATCATATTTTTAACTATTCTAGGGCAATGTCTCGGTTCTACTTATCACTACTGCTTTCAGTGTTCATGTCTTGAAAGGATGGGAGAAAGCGGGAATCAAGGGTGTAGTAACTTAGATATCGTGGTCAATCAGTGACTTAATAATTCATGTACAAGCGTGAATTTCTTGTGGACATTGTGGGAACTTCTTTGTTGTTAATGTTGTCATATAGACCCGACGCTGCATCTTTTTTTAGTTTTGACGATATTGTAGATGAAGTCGTTCTATTTGATTCAAGGATAAGTTAATTAAAATAGTGCCTTACTTAAAAACGCGAAATTACAGTGATTCAAAATACAAAAATTTCCCAAAATCGCGAAAGTTAAGTGTCGCGAAAAAACGCGCACCGAAAAATCGCGAAATAAACGTGTCGCGAAAATTTCATGTAATAAGGTAGGTATGTTGATGATACTTTAGTGCTAATGAAACGTTCTGATATCGACAATGTACTAACTATACTCAATTCTTTTCATAAGAATCTACGTTCTACCGTTGATAGTTTCCCTGATAATAATGTACATTTTCTAGACTTGTCTATAAATAAAAATATCACAGACCTGTACTACAAAGAAACGCACACCGGACAATATATTTCTTTTGATAGTTTTGCCCCTTGGCGCTTTAAGATTGCTTGGATCAAAGCGTTGTTTAATCGTGCTCATAAAATTTGCAGCAACGCTACGTTTGACCAGCAGAACATGAAGCTTGATGAATATATGTCATGGAATGCGTTTCCCAAGAAAGTGCGGAACTCAATTATCAGCCGATTGAAAACTACTCTTAAAAGACCTTATAAGAAACGAAATAATACAAGCACAAGTGTTTATCCATGTTTGCAGGCGTTTCTTGGTCTGATTGCGGTTAGCGGTTAGCGTTTAGATGCTAAAGGTATCTAAAGACGCCAGCTAGTGTTGAAACGGTCGAGAAAACTAGTCGACATCATTTTTATGAAATTGTTCATGGGTTTCAAAATATATTCCAACCTTATTTTCATCGTCATTAAAAGTACTTTTGCTTTTATTGCTCTTAGGTACAGTCACTTGCACATCTTGCTGTAGAACTTGATTTCGTTATAGAGGAATATGCAGGCAATAAGGGAAGATTTCCACCTTGCAAAAGAAGAAAGAAACGAACGCTTTATATCGCAACTATTGAAAAAGTAAGTGCTACTAAGTATTTGTTACTTCAAAATGAATACAAGGCAGAAGAAAATGAATGGATGGATGTACTTGAGATTGAGATTATTATTATTATTATTATTATCATTATTATTATTATAAATAGATATATTTTTTATTGTAGGATATGTGAAGAGATAATCTATACGTCATATATATATTTTTTAATCATTATTATCATTATTATCATTATTATTATTGTTGTTGTTGTTGTTGTTGTTGTCGCCGGCGTTTGTGATGTTGTTATTATTATTATTTTTGGTTATTTCATTACTGTAAGCATTTTTTTATTTTTAATACTTATTCTTATATGGAATCCCAACGACTTAAATTAGCCTCGTTCCAGGCTACTCTCTTCGCTGTTTGGAATGACGTCACACATTTGCCTCTCAGACGTTCAGAGCACTCTGGTTAAAACCTCGATTTCAGTGAATTAAGTTGTCTATGGATCTAAAGAAGTAAATCGAGCGGTCGGTCTATTGTCAATACGTACGTGTTCCGAAGTGTAATTTGTTAAACAGAAACAAGGAAAAGCTACTAAAAACAGTTTTCTAAATAAAGAAATGCAATTTGTCTATTTTGGAAAACAACTCTGAGAGTTTTGTGAGGCTACGTGCGGTAGCTCTGAAGCAGTCCCCCATTTTGGATTTGCCTATAGATCTGAGTATCCTGCGGACCAGGCTAACTTGAATTACTTTTAAATTGTTTTGAACCCATTCAGAACTTTTGGTTAAATTGTTTTGTTTTTATAGGCCAATGGACTTGTAAATAGTTTCATTGAAGAAACGAGGATTGGTGACATTGGTCTTGTGGTTGTAGACGAGGTATGCTAAAGTTCCTTCTCCTTTTAAGTCCAAAATTTATAATCAATATTGCACTTTGCTTCGTTTTATCTACAAGGAGCCCAATTTAAATAAAACTAAATTGCGAAAATAAAGTCGAAAAAAATGGACTAAAATTATTTTTGTATTCAAGGGCATAGTAGTGTCTTCCATAATGCAAACGAGCGAAAAAATCGATAAAAGCTGTAAAAAAAAAACCCAGCATCAATAGATTAATCAGAGAAAGAAGAGGTCAATCAATTAATTAATTATTATTATTGAAGCGAATATTTTGCGTATATTGCAGTGTAAACACAACATATGGCAGATACATAACATGTATCTTTGGCAAGATCTCATTGATTGATTTCCTTCTAATTTTTCAACAAAATTTCAGAAACATGATAATGAGCAGTGTTTTTTTTAGTAAATAGATACCTCAGAAGAGGCAATTATGCCTAAGGGAAATTCACTGTTTAGTTTTCGCATAACTCTTAATTTATATATCTCCAAATCGATCTTATAGATTCTAATTAAACTGCGCCCAGAGGAAGACAGAAACTCCAGGTATAGGCAGCGTAAAGCATTTCCCTAGAAATTCGTTTAAGGGCTAAATTTCGACTCAGAGTTTAAATAGTTGTGGCGTCATTATCACGTGATATGAGATCTGATTTCCTCGAAAATGAATATTAAATTGTAGTTTAGTCTATATGTAATACATATCTCCCAGTGGCTATGAAATCGGAATCGATCTCTTAAGGCATGGGCGGTTCAAAGTTGATAGGTGCTTATTATATGAATCCTCAGGATAATATCGGAAATCTTATACCCCATTCACACCTAAACGTGTTTAGTTAAACTGTGCTTTCATTAGGAAAAAACTAGAAACCTACAATATAATGAAACTTTCTAAAATATTATCAGAGCAAGACAAAGGATAGCTTACATGCATTATTTCACCAAAGATTCTGCAGTGTTCGTAGATAGTTTTCCAAACCTGTTTAGTTAAACCACTTTAAAACATGTTTAAGCCTTGGTGTGAATGGGGTATTACATTTAGTGTAATTTACTCTAATTTATTCTAATACACTCAATTGCAAAATCATCGACAAAGCTTTAAAATTATTATTTATACATATGAAAGCGATTTTCGTCACAGAAATAATTAAATTGTTTTTTCTACAGCTACATATGCTTGGAGAAGGAGGAAGGCGTGGAGCTACTCTTGAAATGTGCTTGACTAAACTATTATGTGCTGCAAGTAAGAGTTTAAAAGATTAATTACTAGAAATTATTTATGTAATATTTGTTCTCCATAATATATTTATAGTAATAATAATGATGATGATAATAATAATAATAATAATAATAATAATAAGTATATGTTATAGGACTCCATGCTGTCCAATTAAGAAATAATTGGACGAGGAAAATTCCGAGGACTGACAAAATTGGATGAGGCCGTAGGTCGAGTCCAATTTGGCAGTCAGAGGAATTTTTCGAGTCTAATTATTTCTTGATTAGGGAGCATGAAATCCCATTACCTATTAATTATATAGCTGCCTAATTAATCCCATATCAACAAGACCTGTCCAATTAAGAAAATAATTGGACAGTTACCTATGTGGGATTAATGAGAAGCTGTATAATTATAATGATAATTATCTTTTAACATGTAGAGAAGGTGATAGATTGAAGGCACTTAACCCGTGAAAACGATATTAGACTTATAGTAGTAATAAATTATGCGTCGGTGTGTAATGAAATAGAGAATAAGGGAAAAATATCAAATGCCCTTGGTTGGAATCACTATAGTAGACCAGAATTCCATTGTTTTCTTTTGTATCTATTTGACTACTACAAGTTTACAAATTTGCTTTCCTCTCGTATTTGAAGTCATGCTATTTTTTTATATTTTTGGTGGAACAAATCACTGTATAAAACGCAGCCTTGATGAGAACAGTTTGCTTCCCCAAGACAATGATATTTATTTATTTTAATTACCGTGCTTTTTAATCTGTGTTTTTAAAGGTCAGGCACAGATAATTGGAATGAGTGCAACCTTGAGTAATATTAAAGAATTACAACAATTTCTACGGGCAGAGGTGTATGCAAACGACTTCAGACCGGTAAGAATCTGCTCAATTTACAAATTCTTTGTATTTTTATTTGTATGAAAAAATAGCAGAACTTTATTTAGCAAGTAGTAGGAAAAGGAGAGTTCTAAGCCACTTTCTCGAGATTGTCCACGTGATCAGCTCGCAGCTTACAACCAATAAATCTAGCTTCTACAGCTTGTTCGTTTTTAGCGTATAATACAAACATTTTTTCCCTGACTGATTTCTCAGAATTTGCACGCGTCAACAGTTTTCAGAATTTGGTCCGCCATCTTTGATTTGATATCACGAGCTGATCACGTGATTTCTGGGAATAATGTCAGTTCTTGATTTCCAGGAATTTGGTCACGGGGTGACCACGTGGACAATCTCGAGAAAGTGGCTTCAAACTCTCCTTTTCCTACTACTCAGCGACAGCATTTTTACTCGGCCTCATTTATAAAATGCAAGCCGTTTTTCTTCCTAGTCGCTAAATCTGCAATAGACCACTATGGCGCATGCGTCTTGTGCCGCTGTGATGCATTGAAGGCTCAGGCCCACGAATATTTGCCGAGCAGTTGCCGATTGATGATTGTATTATTGCTAGTGCGCATGCTATCCTGATTCGATGTGCTAAATCATCGAAGGCTCTAATCGCATGGTTATTACTCAGAACAAGGGCTACAGCACAAGGCAATGCGTAGTCTGCCTTGGAAGACCTTGTAGCATGGGGGCAAAATTACGTGTAAAGCCAACCGGGAGTGTAAAGAAAGCCTTAAAACGAATTATGTCTAATACGCTCGTGTCACATTGAAACGCACACGCCGTTCGCGGTAGACCTACACAAAAAGAACGTTTTCGGCAGTACTAACCGAGGTGACAAACACAAAACATAAGTTGCCGTATTGGATGAAGCAAAATATAATGTAACAAGCAACTGGAAAAGTAGTTATTTAATGTAACTCTTACACTAAATATCGTGATTCCTTTGTTTGTCTTTTATTGAGATAAATGCTTCTAAAGCACAATAACATATTGTGTATTAAAACCCATCGTAGTGATAAGTTTGGATTGAGTGCCAGGCAGGGTACGAGGGATGGTCGTGACCATGGCAACTTATCACGTCCACCGCGT